TGTCAGCATTTTGAAAAACCCTAACTTAACTCTGGTGCCGTGTCACATATAGAAATTTTTTGATATTTGCAACCATAGTAAAACAAAGACTTATATTTTTTGATATTTATTTTATATATTTAAATGCCATTTAACAAAGAAAAATCAACCAAAAAAATGAGTTCACGTGTCACCTCTGACACGCATGTCATAGGTTCGCCATCACTGCCCTAGGACCTCCCCTAAAATCTCTACCTTTAAAACCCTTAAGTCAGCCCTAGCAGATTTGGCTCCATGGCTAGAGTAGCGGCCAGGGGACTGAAGGGTCCTGAGTTCGATTCCTGTCAAGGACACACATCTTGATTGCAGGCTCAATCTGGCCGGGGTGCATACGGGAGGCAACCAATGGATGTGTCTCTCTCATATCGTGTCTCTCTCATATCGTGTCTCTCTCTCTCTCTCTCTCTCTCTTTCTCTCCCTCCCTTCCACTCTCTCTAAGCATCAATGGAAAAATATCCTCAGGTGAGGATTAACAAAAAAATCACCACCACCACCAACAAAAAACAAAATACCCTTAGGACAGAGGGAGGATCCAGTGCACTCTCCCTCCAGGAGTACACCCACGCCTTTTCCTTCCCCCTCCCTAACCTACCTGCACAGACATATCACCTTTACCTTCCTTACCGCTAAGCTCCTTACCTCTATAACTTGTTTCCTAAGCCTATTTCTTCTAGGAATTACTTCTTCTTCCTCTGTGATTTTCCAAATGAATGTTCTCTTATAGTTTGAACCTTGGCTTTGAATTCTTTTCCTAGCCAGAACTCCAGTACCAAGGTTGCTGAACCCAGGTCCCGGTCTGATCCCATGTGTCTAACACCTGGTGCTGTTTTTGCCACCCACAACACCTTGACACCAGCTATGCATGCACCTCATAAAAGGCAATAGCATTCAGAAATTCTTAAAATCCAAAGAATATTTGCTTGTTTGGAGACTGGAAGCATAATGTTAAAGGGTACTATATTACCATGCTGTATTTGTGCATCACTACATACAGTTGAATATAACACTTTGGACTCATAAAAATGTTTTATGAATGGCAAACAGTGCCTCAGATCATTACTTCCCCTGCAAGGTTCTCTGTACAGTCACAATGGAAAACAGTAAGCTAACAAGGTTGAGTGTTAAATCAAGCAAACCAACAAAGACCAGTATAGATTTTGACAGTATAATTTCAAGCCAAGTTTTAAATCTACTCAAAGGTTAGTTTATCTATGGATAAAACAGTGACCACCACAGACTGCATACATAGATCACAATGTTTATATTTTATTACCAGAAGATCAACGATGAACTAAAATGTGCCAATATAAGCAAATACTGTGTAAGACATATCCAGAGGGTGCAGCAAAGTGTTGTATTTGTCATGTAACCACTTTGAACATCAATTTTCTCATTAAAAAAATGAGATAAAATACCTGGTTTCCCTCTTACAAGAGTTGTAAAGGTTTAGCAAGATAATGGATTAAGTTTATGAAAGTTAATAGATTATTTATGTATACATTTTAAAATTATTCTTTCAAAAAACAACTTAAGGAAGATGATGGTGATGATATTTAGGCAGTTGATTGCTGGAGTATAGTAGTAAAGTGTTATAAAATTGAGGGGCAAACTGAAATTCTAAATATTGAAGGACAATAACAAATGATCCAGCATTTCTATGGAATGCAAGTAAACAATTGCGGTAAATCATTCATGTTAGTATTGAGCAACCGGGCATGGCAGAATCTTGGTAGCAAAGTGGTAAGTCAAAACGATGCAAGTGGCCCTGCAAACAGGATGTTTGGCCTGCAACTAGATGAAAATGATAAATCATCTTTGTTTATGTGAACAGAAGCCTTAACTTCCACCCCAACTACAGTAAAGGTCAGACTCTTTGAGAGTAATGCACTGTCCCTCTGGGCCAGGTGCCATGCAAAAATGCATCACATATATTACAGCACTTAATATTCCTCAAAACACTCTGAAACATTATTTCCTGTTTACTAAATGAGAAAACTATCAACTAAAGAGGGTGTAACCGCCAAGGCAACACAACTGGGAAGAGGGATAAATGGAATTCAAATCCCATGACCTGAGCTTTCATCCATTTTCCTATCTTCCTGTCTAAGGTCAAAATTCTAATTCTTATAATAATGCCCTGTTGAAGCTAGCCTATATAATAAAAGCGTAATATGCTAAGTATCTGACCATTCGTTCAACCATTCCACCAGTTGCTATGACGTTCACTGACCGCCAGGGGGCAGACGCTCCGACCTGTAGGTTAGCTTGTGGCTGGCCAGCCGATCCCCATCGGCCCTGATCCAGGAATGCACAAGATGGCCCCGATTGGCCCCGATCACCAGCCAGGACAAGGGACCCCACCTGTGCACCAGGCCTCTAGTTATAAACATAAGTTAGGGAAATATTTATACTGGGTTGAACAGTGTCTTCTCCAAATTCATGCCAACCTAGAACCTCAGAATGTCACCTTATTTGGAAATAGGGTCTTTACAAATGTAATTAGTTAATATTGAGGTCACAATGGAGTAGGTTGGGCTCTAAATCTAATATGACCAGTGTCCTTATAACAAAAGAAGAGGCACAGAGACATACAGGGACATACAGGGAGAATGCCATGTGACAACAGAGCTAGAGATTGGAGTTATGCTGCTATAAGACAAGGATTGCCAGCAACCAGAAGCATAGAACATATTCTCCCTCTGAGTCTCCAAGAAGGAATCAAACCTTCTGACACTTTGATTTTGGACTACTGGCCTCTTGAATAGTGAGAGAATAAATTTCTGTTGTTTTAATCTACCTGGTTTGTGTTTCTTTGTTATAATTGGCCTAGGAAACCAGTACAGATGCATATATTC